AATGTTGTGTGGTCCACAAATTGTCGTTCTGAGTCTGGGTGTTCTTTGTGTCCGTTTCATGTATGTTTGTAAATCTTAGACAATAAATTAAGTACACACAGTATATTCAATATATCCTGTACACTCCTAGTGCAGGAGTTGCTCTAAAAAACAACCATAACTTCGAAACAAATATTTACAGATCATACAAACATTTGATCTGACCCGGGAATCGAACCCGAGACCCCAGCACCGCAGTCGCATACGCTACCACTGCACCACCGAGGCATTCACTAAAACAAGTTATTAATTTAAAAGTTAAGAACACTAATATTCCTGCTGAAATCTACTACAAACCGAATGCGTGATTAGATTTCACGACGATAGAGTCGAGGTTTTGCATTAAAGAATTTATTTTTTTTTTTTTTTTTATTTATTTATTTTTTTTTTTTTTTTTTTTTACCACATACACACAACGCCATCTAGTCCCAAACTAAGCAGAGCTTGTATTATGGGTACTAGACAACTGATATAAATACATATATACTTTTTTTTTGTAAATACATGCATATTATACATAGAAACACCCAGACCAAATCAAACATCAAATGTTCATGCACACAAATGTTTGACTTGAGCGGGAATCGAACCCACGACCTTTGGAATAGCAGTCCGTTACACAAACCACTACGCCATCCAGTCGTCAATTAAAGAAATGAATATAGCCAGTATTATTCCGCAGTTTTCTAGACTTCTCTAGAATTTTGTTCAGTGACATAAATTGATAGTGGAAAAACTCCGTCTTCCATTTTATCTTTATAAACCATTAACAAAAAGCAACCAGTGACGTCACTCCTCACAAATTCGATACTCGACACACCAACCCTATTATACTCCTATTAAGCTGTTTAAAACATATTCTCCAAATAAAAAAATTACATCACTATTGGCAAAATCTAACCGTAGTTACCTCTTGACTCGAACAAATTCGAAATTCTTTTACTACTGCGTCTAGAAATATGTTTACAAAACTATATCTGGTAGTAAGTAATTACTTGTTACTCAAGTTTCGAGTAAAATACATTTACATGGCAATTAACTTACCGACTCGGTCACACTCCGTTGGTCAAACAATGAACAAACGGCGGGACGAACGCGTGGCGCTCGCGTGTGGCGGACACCGACGCAGGTGGCGTTCCCCTTGTGCCAATTAATTTCGAATAACTTGTCTACCATGTCGCTGTCTGTTGAATTGAGATATCTTGTTTTTAATATTATATCAGCACCGTTTAACTGTCTTTCTCCTGGACAAAAGTCTTTTGAAGTTGGTTAAGTTTGCTTTGGTTTAAAGACAATACAAAAGCCACTTAGGTACATGATAATATAAAATAATATGATCATCATCCTTTAATAGAGACTGCACGGATAGCGTAGTGGTTTAAGTGGTCGCCACGCCACCACATGGGACGACAAAGTGTCGTGTGATCCACAAATTGTTGTTCTGAGTCTGGGTGTTCTTTGTGTCCATTTCATGTATGTTTGTAAAGTCCCCCGCGACACAGGATATATATTCAATGCAGGAGGTTTTGGCCTACTATACCACGCTGGCCGAGACGGGTTGTTATAGGATTTGTGTCAAGTTTCCCTTCTCTTTGCAGTACAGTAGTCCTGCGAAGTTTGCTCCCTTAATCGGCTCTTACGACACCCACGGGATTAACAGGAGCGGTGACACTCGGTATTCTTAACTCGTCTTCACAAAACATATTTTTTTAATTATTTAAGTACCGGTCATCGACGGACTTAATAATATAGTAAATAAGTAAGGTAGTCTATAGGTACAATAAAATTAAATAATAATAATATTTTCGGACATCTTACACACAACGCCATCTAGTTTCAAACTAAGCAGAGCTTGTACTATGAAAGCTAGATTGACTGATGGAATACTTACATACCTTTTTTTGAAACACCCAAACTCCGAAACAAATATTTGCAGATTGTTCAAACATTTGGACCAACCCGGGAATTTAACCCGGGACCTCAGCACAGCAGTCTCAGCATACGCTACCACTGCACTACCGAGGCAGTCAAATAATATGTTATAGCTATTTTGAGGTTAGGTATTGCCAACATCGTAAACAGAATGTTTTACATTTACCTTGTTCTGTTAGACTTGTTATTGAATGTTAGCTTATGATCACGGCCTAGTTCCTCGTTTGGCGGTAAAAGTAGACTTTATTATGTTAGTCCAGAATCTAAGTGACTCAACTATTCTGGTGTGATTCTGTAACAAACATGCATATAACTTTTCGGTTAAAAAATAAGTTCATTTCCAAATCGATTACATTTTTTTTATGTTTTAACTCCGTTGTTTGTTAACGTACTTATATAAATTTATTTATGATAATAAACATCTACTCTGGGCGGAATTAAAATCACATACCTACGTATAATATAATATATATAAATAAAATAAATAATATATAAATATATCAATAATAAGTGAAAGTTTGTAACTTACACGTTGGCTACGTACCTATTATTATTAACGGACTAGCATTTTTTAAACAATATATTTATATTAAAAATTCATATCTACAGAATTTAAAGAGAAATACTTTCAATTTATTTTATTATAGCTAAAAAACCAATAAAACTTAATGGAAATCCAACTTACTAAACATAATCTACTTGCTAGCACTTGCACTTGACACACCATTTCATCACAAGTGTAATATAATAATAATGATAAAGCCCCTTTATTTTCCTTAACTTACAGAGTTTAAAATAACTACGTTTAACTAACAAAAATGTATACACTCAATAATTTTTACAATTAGTAAGGTTAAGGCCCTTGGCACCCGCCAAGGGCCTTAACCTTACTAATTGTTAAAGTTAGGCCTCCTCCAACACTTGCCAGGTTTTTCTCATTTTGGCTTTCTTAATCCGGTCATTTCCAGCATATGTTTTTATTTCGTCAACCCAGCGTTCCTTTAGACGGCCTCTAGCTCTCAAAAGTGCAATCATCATCATCAACAACAGCCTTTAATAGTCCACTGCTGGACATAGGCCTCTCCTTAGAAAGGAGGCTTTGGCCTACTATACCACGCTGGCCAGACGGGTTGGTATAGGGTTTGTGTAAAGTTTTCCTTCTCAAAAATGTAATATACTCGTACAATATCTTGCTAACAATTGGATACGTGTTTGGCGTCCCTAAATCACTTTTAGACATGAAACCGCAGAAATGAGCCTATAAAAGTGGATGCATTAATGGTCGGTTTTTCTCAATCACAATTTTTTGAAATGTCAACTCAAAAGATCTTAGTTCCATGAAATAATAATAATCAATCTTTATGTCATATTCAAGCACCCCTAAATCGGAAATCTGTCCGGAAATGGGAAGTGATAAAGTTCAACTGACTTTTGGTGTCAGTCACGCGAGGCCCAGCCACCCCAGCTCACCTGTCCACGTCCGACATAGTAATTGGTGCAAGACAAACAAAGGGTGGAAGTCTAACGAGAAAAAATATATTTAGATTTGTACTAAATAAAACTATCAAATACTCGTACTTCAATGCACATTGAAGTATTTGATGGTCAATATCATTACGCAGTTGCATTGTACGAGTAATGAACTGTTTTCTTCTTTCTTTAACTTTTACCCTTAAGGGTTTTCGTGGTTTAGGATATGGCCTAGTTTGGCGCGATTTCGATTCGGGGAGGACCTAAAATCACATGGTTTGGGCCTGAGGCCGGCCGATGCGGTGGACTTTAGTAAAAACTCCACTCCACAAGGAGCCGGAGATCTGAACGGATTTTCCACTCCGTCAATGAAAAATGGGTTAGTTGTGGTATTTTTAATTTAAATTTGAAAGGGACCTAAAGGAAAGTCTAAGAAAGCATATCTATTTATTTAAGTAAGCTGTTGCATCCACTGCTGGGTATAGGCCTCTTCTCTACCACGACACTCCTGGCGGTTTTGTGCCATGCGGATCCATTGTCTCAAATTAAATCTACACGACGTATTTAAACGTTATTAAATTAGTGCGCTATGTATTTTGCTTAAACATTACAGGAATACAACAAATTACATAGGGTATTTGTATTTTTCATTCAGAAAAATCGAAGAATATAGAGAAAAAGTTTATATTTTCTTTAGAAACCACAATAATAAATATAACGTTTATAGGATTCTAATAAAGAAGTGGATAAAAATAGTGGTAAGACACATAAAAGAATAATTATCTGTACCGTTTACTATAAATGTAAGTATGTAGGTAATTTCGAGTTGCCCCAGTCAGTTGTAGCTACAGCTTTTCTTATTCATTGTATTTGTAATACATATTATTAATTTACATTAAAAAAAACTACAGAACAATTTAGTTGCGACAGTTTGGTTATGATACTAATTATTACTATTACTTAGGTATTTACATTAGCATGCTAATAGCAAGCTCTTCCTATATTTAATTTCTTAGCGTAAACTATTCTTAGCACCTTAAATTATTTTTCAAATTACTAGAAAGTAATATTCAGTAATATTCAGGTTTCCGTGTAGTGACGGATTAAGAATACGGAATGTTACTACCCCAATTCATACCCGTGGGTGTCGTAAGAGTCGACTAAGGGCGCAAAACAACGCAGGACACCAGCACTGCAAAAAGAAGGAAAACTGGACACAAACCCTATACCAACCCGTCTGGCCAGCGTGGTATAGTAGGCCAAAACCTCCTTTCTAAGGAGAGGCCTCTGCCCAGCAGTGGACTATTAAAGGCTGTTGATGATGATTGATGATGAATATTCAGGTCTCATTGAGCACATTAACAGTTTCATCACACACATCATCATCACATCTACAGCCTTTAATAGTCCACTGCTGGACAGGGGCCTCTCCTTAGAAAGGAGGTTTTGGCCTACTATACCACGCCGCCGTTTTCTTCTCTTAGCCTCCGCCTCGATTTCCGCTTCTCTTAATATCCATAATAAAATTAGACTACTCTGCTTTGTTTCAGATTATCACCATGTTCAGCACCAACTTTGACGACTACTGCGACTTTAACGACAGCATCTGCAGCAACGATTCAGGCTTCGAAAAATCTTACACGGATTCCTTTGCAGCGTCTAACAATAACACACCAATCAAATTTGATACCTCAGACCTTGGAATTTCTCTCACTCCCACCAAAGATGTTAGAAGAAAACTCTTTAAAGAAGATATCGATAATATTCCTGAGCACGGTGATGACAAGGTATTTGAAAGTAGTATACTAGCAATGAATACATCTACGCCCAAAAAAGAAAAGAAACCAAAAGACCCGAATAAACCGAAGAAAAAATATGCAAGCGGTAAAAATCGAATTTCGAGATGCAAGAGTCCATCGCAGTTGATGAAAATACAGAGAAATAGAAGAATGAAGGCTAATGACAGAGAAAGGAATAGAATGCACATGCTAAATGAAGCTTTAGACAGACTACGCTGTGTATTGCCAACGTTCCCTGAAGACACTAAGTTGACTAAAATCGAAACCTTACGATTTGCTCACAACTACATATTTGCACTAAGTCAGACTTTAGAGTCTTTAGATAATATTAATTCCGGGCAAATACAACCGCAGGAGTATCCGATCAACAACGAAAAGCTACAAAATTGTTCTCTTTCTGGTGACAAAATTGCTAAAGATGCTTTTAGAGAAATATTTTCAATTTCTAATAAAACGGAAGGTGTTTTAAATGATGGTACCTATCGTAGCTTTCAAGGATACAGCAGACCTTTTGCTAATGGTTCTAATTTTATGCAGACTTCAGAAGGTGTACTTATTAACGTGGGGAACGTTACAGTATCAGTAAACAACAAAGGTGGAAATTGTATTACTTCTACGACAGGAACAGGTTTCTTCACGCATCCGTCTACTTTTTCTGAAGACTTACATCAACAGAACTATTACTATCAATATTCTAAATCAAATACTTATAATGAAAACAGTTATGAAGAGAATAATGGCGCAGAAAGAGAGTATTTCAATCAGAAAAACTATGAAATATTCAAAAATGCTTTCGATATAGCAGCGAACAACAAAAAACTTGAAAAGACTGAAGAATATAATTATGAAAGATTTAATAATTCTTTATATGGGTATAATGAAGTAAATTGTAATGGTAACGCAAATGAATATTTACATAATAACTATTATTATAATGACCAAAGATGTTACAGAAATTTTTATAATAGGGCTCCTAATGTTGTGAATGCACAAATATAATATATGTAAGCTAGTCTACTGAAAAGATATATTTTTACTATTGTATAACATATTAGTTTTAATCAAAGAATTGTAAAATACCAAAGACAATAAGCATAAGATAGTTTAAGTTGGTTTTGTAAAAGTCTAATCCGCTAGTCATTTTTTTTAAATAAATATTTTTTTTATATATTTGTAACTTTTATTGTGAACTGAAATTTCAGTGAATCATTTGTAATTGAAATTAAAACATAATAACATAATCTACACATATAAAATGACTTGTCCTGACTGATTAATTCATCAAGGCAGAGCTTAAACCGCTGGGTATAAAAACCGGAAACTTTGGCAGATAATGCTATTTATGTTGTCAGCACCCACTGAAAAAAGATTTTTGGAAATTTAACCCCTAAGGGGTAAAATAAGGAATGAACGGTTGTATGGAAGTTCGTCATTTTCAAAGTCAGAAATAGGAAATAAGAAAAAATACTACACAGCTAAGACAGCTAATAAAAACACTAACTCTTTGTGAATGAAATGGAGACATAAAATAATTTGGATGATTTTAATTAGACTACAGATAAATAAGACGAGATTATACATAAGCACCATCAATCTAACGCCAAATCTTAAACAATAGCAAATAAACAGTAGCCCAGTTTAACGTACAGAAAGGGAAAAATTGACGCATGATTTACCACCGTGTAATAATACAACAGACTAAGGACTATGAATATAAATCAAATAGGAACAATGCAAGCTAAAGAGCGAAAAGTTGTGAATGCTTATGCGCACCCCTATGATAGCTTTGTTCAGGCCCTTTTGAAAAATCCCCAATTTAATATACTTAGGAAAACATGCGAGAATCTACTTTATGTCCTGGTGTTATGATTTAAAGGCTGTGAATAAGAATGTCCGTTGGCCAAAATAGGGGCACCCATTTGGATCGAGTTACGATTTTCTAAAAGTGATGTTTGCTTTGGAAATTCGTTACGGCCTTTATTGTTAGGTCCGTGTTCGCTCCAATTATTTAGATGTCATATTTTTTCACTTACTACGCCGGTTGATTCGTGTATTAAACAAACTGAAGATCGAGTCATTTTGCAAAAATCAATAGTAAAGTGTTCATTTAGAATATTTTCGTTATAGCGTTTACAAAGTACTTGCAGAATCCAGGAGCTGTTTGATCTATGTAGGAACTTTTAATAAAGTTATTAAAAATATAATTTTAATTTGTGTTGTAATTTTGTCTTTTAAAAAAGAAAAAGAAAAGAAAAGAAAAAGAAAGAATGAAAAAAATGACATCGTTTTACTGCCAATCAATCTTTGTAAGCTACAAAAGTACGTCAGGCTCATCGATCAACGATTAATGATTTGATCTAAATGTTTAAAGAATTTTGATTAAGAGAATTTGTTCTAAATATAATTTTATCAAACATTAAGTGTGAAAACTGATGTAAAGATACATAGAAAGAAATTACAACATATCTTTGGGCGATTAAATATACAATGAATGTTCTAAGGACATCTGAGACCTATAGGATAAGCGACATACTTCAAATGCAAATATCATTCATAGCAAGTAAGCCAAATCATCGTCATCATTATCAGTCGGTCCACTGCCGAATGAAGGCCTCCCCGAAAGAGCACCAAGCAAATATAATAATAATAAATTTATTTCCATAACACAGGTATAATCAATATTACAATCAATTTCAAATAGGTCGAAATATATTTTTTTAAATAATTTACCTATTAATCCATTCTCTTGGAGATAATGGGCGCACACTATGTATTTTAAAACAAAAAACACTAATTAATACATCAATAAATTTTGCTGAGCGCGCTCGTTTGTTGGCTGTGGGAGAATGGAAATCAGGCTTATGGGTTCAAGCACTTCTATCGCCCAACATAGGCACCTTGTTGAACTATATTACATTTCCCTTTGCCACTTGTCTTAGGTTAGGTGCACCTTGTGTTTCTCTTTATTTTTATCACTGCGGAGAAACTGTTGACCGTCTTGGACATCATGGCCTTTCTTATAGCAGAAGCGCTGTCCATATATCTCAATATGCCTAATATGGTCAATGGTCTGATACGAGACGATGGGAAAAGACTGGATGGTATGTCGTTGCTGCCATAAAAGATGGGTAAGCCTTTGTTGTGGGACGCATCGTGTGTCGACACCCTTGCGCCATCACATCTTCCAAGCACAGCTGGTTATGCTGGCGCTGCTGCTGCATCTGCATCCGTCGTAAATACCAAAATTTTGTAAGAAATTACATTTTTGAACCGCTTGGGATCGAAATTCTCCGTGTGGTGACGGATTAAGAATACGGAATGTCACCACCCCTATTAATCCCGTGGATGTCGTAAAAGCCGACTAAGGGAACAAACTGCACAGGACAACAGCACTGCAAAAAGAAGGAAAACTTGAAACAAACACTGTACCAACCCGTCTGGCCAGCGTGGTATAGTAGGCCAAAAGCTCCTTTCTAATGAGAGGTCTATGTCTAGCAGTGGTCTATCATAGGCTGTTGATGATTGTTGATTGGAATCGAAACGTTAGGGTCATGGGGTCCGAGTGCTCGTACTATGTAACAACTAGCTAAGCAACACTTCTCGTGATGAGAAGGCCAGCCTTTTTCTAGTACAGAAAATTAGCATTGCCATTAAACGTGGCAATGCTGCCAGTCTTTTGGGAACGCTACCAGTAGGCGATGATGCGGAGGAATTTTTTGATGCTTGTATGTAATTATAATATAATTCTTTTATCCTCTGAAAGTTAGTAAGTATAGAATAATATTATATATTTATATAATAATGTTTGTTCCACTTCTGTTGGCCGTAAGGCCGGTGTAAGGTGGCCAGTGTAAGTCGAATATTCGTAAGTATAATTCCACCAGCTCAGATAGGTCTATTATGATCAGATGTCCTAAGCCTTATCACTTGAAAACTTATCATAACAGCAGTTGTTGTTCTCTAGGTTAATTTTTTTCCTCATTTTGAAACCTTACTTTTACTTACACTTGTTCGTAGTAGCTACTAAACTATGAGTATATCGATTAATATGGTCGATAGAATAATTACCTGTACATCACCATTTAAGTTTTTAAAATAAAATGACGAATCTATTGGTGTCTCTGTAGTGTCGTTAGATTAATCTTAATGTTATGAGAGTGACACTTGGTATATGTAATAAAATTATAAATCCTTTTGAAAAAAAGTTGAACTGACTTCAAATAATACTAACAAAGACCAACTAAACGCACTGCTCCAAAGAGACAGCAAGGTTTCGTAAGTAAACAAAAATATCATCGATGTATCCAATTTTTAGATATTTGTTGATTTTTCAAAAACCGCTTGACCGATTTCAAGTAAATTTAAAATGGGACTACCTGGGAAGTATACCCTTTAAAACAAAAAAAATAATAATTTCCAAATCGGTTCAGGCGTCTTCGAGTAATCGGTGAACATACATAAAAAAAAAGCCGACGAATTGAGAACCTCCTTTTTAGAAGTCGGTTACTTAAAATCGCCGGCTTTTAAATTTTAAGTATACATAACTTTTTTGTTTGTATTGGAAGGATTTTGTTTTTAAGCATGGATTAAGAAATATAAAAGGCCCTTAATAAATTTCAATATAAAAGATATTTCTGAAGTCAATAAATCATAAAAAAAAATAGTCACTCACCTGGCGTTCAGCTGTCATACGAAACAAAATTACAATAATTACGGAACAAATCTACGCATTCGGCACGCACCATTGCACCTGTAGTTTTAGTCGTGATTCCAAATGGTATTAACAGGAAATTTGCTTCCTACACAGGTAATTGCTCGCTTTGTTTCTGCATGTTGTTCTCCTATCATATCACTATTCGGCAATACGTTGCTTTTAGTCAGTTACATGAAGATATTTTAAGCGATAAGAGGTAGAATATCATTAAAAAAGGTAAATTAAAAAGCTGTTAAATACCAATTTTGACTATAAGGAAAATTATTCGAATCTGATGTTGTTACTAGTATAATAATAATATAATTTATAATATATCTCACAAATCTCACACACGGCCGTCTGATCCCAAACTAGGCAGAGCCTGTACTATGGTAACCAGACTGCTGATAAACATACTTATATATTTTTAAATAGATACATATTATATATAAATTACACCCAGACACAGAACAAATGACCGTGCTCATCACACAATATTTGTCCTGGGTGGGAATCGAACCCACGACCTCCGGTTTAGCAGTCAGGGTCGCTAACCACTAGACCAACAGGCCCGTCAACTTTTTAGCTATTCTTTTTCCTCATTATTTTCATAGGTAGACTAGTGTGTGGTACAGAGGTATAATTGACCACTGAGAAATGAAGGAAATATCGATGTATAACTATTAAAAGATAAAACCTTTCATAATGGTACATAATGGTTACGTAGAGATGTGGCTTCACTCTGCATTCTCTATCGCATATATCATGGAGAGTGCGCCGAGGAACTTTTTGGACTAATACCAGCCGCAACTTTCCGCCATCGTTCTACACGGCAAAATGTTCATCCTCATCACCTGGTTAATAGGCGCTCCACTACTGTGCGCTTGTCGAGAAGCTCCGCACAACCAATCTGTGGAACGGGTTATCGTCTGCGGTATTTCCGAACCGATACAACCTTCAAACTTTCAATAAAACTCCCTCCTAAAAGGCCCGGCATCGCGTTTGTAACTCCTGAGTAGCAGACGTTCATGGGCGGCGATGGTCACTTTCTATCAGGTGACCCGTCTGCTCGGCTGCCCCCTCTAAACATTAAAAAAAGACTAACTAATTTGACATAATTTGAAAACGTGTACGTAGCGCACAAAAATAACTTTTAAATTTTAATCTAAAAACTAAAATTATCATAATAATATTATGAAGATGAAAGTTTGTGTGTGTGTTTATATAGTTGTTACTTCTTCACGCTCAAACTGCTGGACCAATTATGATTCCATTTGGTATTTAGGTAGCTGACATCCTAGATTAA